CCCCGCCGACGCCGATACTCAGTACGGGGCCGTGTAGGCCCATGGCACTTCGAGGGAAGGACTTTGAGTCCGTGGCGTTTCTGGTTAACACTACACCAGGCGCAATTGGCGTGTTGCCGAAAAGCCTCAGCGCTCAACACAAGAAATTGCGCACTCTTTTTCTCTCCGGCCATCAGGCATGAGACAATAAGAACGAAATCGCCTTCACGGCATATAAAACACATACCCTCTTCTTAGACTTGTCCTTGTCTTTGTGGTGCTTCGACTTCTTTTCTTTCCTGCCGCCGCCAACACCGCCGCCAGAGTCGCGACTGCCGCCGCCGCCGCCGCCGCCGTGGCTGTCGATGGACCCACGCCGCTCAAGCGACGCCGCTTCGCCCACCGCCGGCATGGAGGCAATCGAAGGTCGCCCCGGAGGAGCGGCGGGTGCCGATCGGCCTGGAGTGGGAGGCGCGCCAAGGGTTAAACGGATGAAAGGAGTGGGGGGCAAGCGAGCTTATGTAAAGAAACAAGCCATTCGAGTTTGACGACGCTACGGAGGCATGTAGTCAGGCCGCACACGTGCGCGAATACGAGGCATGAGTCAAAGGGGGACAATGGGCCTTGTATTATAAGATATGGGGCAACATGACTACCGGCGACTTAGAGCACCGTCAGCGACGACAGCGACAACAATAGACTAAACCACAACGTGTGACATACCTGCGGTAGGGTCGACGTCGGATGCCCGCAGGTGCTGCATGTAGTTGCCATAGCTGTGCCCCCCAATGAACCCGGCGAGCTCTTTGTACTCCTTCTCCAGTCGCTCTGACGCCATCTGCGCCTGCTGCAGCAGAGACTTTCGCTTCAGCTCCAGGAAGGGCACGTTCAAGTACGTGTAAAGCACCTGTGGTGAAGGTGAAGAGAACGGTGGGGATGGGGCGACAGCCGTGAGTGAGGGGAGAGAGAAAGAGACAGGGAACCCAAGTGCTCGAAATGAGCACGGAGCTTTGACGCTATCAACCTTATCGGCATTTTAGAGGAGTTAACGCCAAGCGTGGACGGGTCGGTGGGGGGCAAGGTAATACACGGGGGCCCGAAATCGTGTCCTGTGAGTGGCAAGAGTGCCTGTGCTGTTGTGATATACTTCACAAGACGGTAACGAGGATGAGTAGAGACCGCCCAGGGACAAACAACGACACAAGGCAGGACAAACAAAACACTCCCAGACCTGTGAAACGCTGGAAACGGAACGTCTAGAGGGGTTCAAGGAGAAGATATGTTGTTTTGCCGAGAGAGAACAGAATCTAACCAAAGGAAACCAAGGATCAACAGGGTCTAGATGTGTACGGAATGCTGAAGGAAGGAATAGGGTTCAACGAGTACCTCCATGGACCAATGGATGCAGGGACAAAGCTGAAGGTCAACTTAAGGACCGAGGACGTTTGGCCTTCAAGAACGTAGACGAAGATTTCGGAAGGTAGACGATATAAAGACGACTAATTCAAATGTGAATGCGACTCCGAATGCAAAGACCGGGTTCATGCAGTCGTGGATCGTCCGATGTACATGAGGTAGAGGGAAGTGTTTGAGGCATGGAATAGTCAGGATAAGACGGTAGCTGTACCGGGACATAGGAAGTGGGCCGAAAAGGCGGGAGGTGACATCGATAGGATGCATAGGCTCGGAAAAACATTATTGAGCCACCTTTGGCAAAGTAAGAGGAAACGATTGGCGATCGGTGATCTGTGATCGGTCCTGTGGGAACAATGATCCGTCCTCTCGAGGACACGCAGTGGTCTAACCGCTATGGCATGCAAAACATAAGGGTACGCCCGCCACCCCCCCATCCCCCAAGACCCGTCAACGGTCAAATGTTTCAACCAGATGGCGCGCAAAACATAACGCCAGCAGCGCGCCACCTCCTTCGACCTACGAACCCCGCAACCCTTCCGACAGCCGCCCCAGCTCCAGTCCATTCGCAGGCCTCTCTCTCACCCTCAGCCCGAAGCAGTTCTTCATCGAGCAGTCGAACAGACTGACCCGTCTCCCCGCCCCCCGCCCCGCCGCCTCGTCGGCCACCTTGATGCGGTCCATCATGAGCCGCGCGGTCTCCAGCGTCACCACGTGGTCCCACGCTCCCCCTTTGCCCCCGCCCCCGTCAACAGCGCTACTGGCACTAGCAACCCCTTCCGACGCGCCCGCCATCGCCGCCGTTGCCGCCGACTCCGTCCCCGAAGATGCGCCGACGGCGGCGGAGGCGTCGCCGTCGCCGGGCGGTGGATCTGCCGCTGCCTCGGCGGCCGATGCCGTTGGTGATTGCGTGGATGCCATGGCGGCGGCGGCAGCGACAGGTGTAGGGGTTGTCGAAGTGCCGGATTGCTGAGACGCCTTTGCCACTGCGTCTTCTTCCAGCTTGTCGCGGAAGTTAAGGAGGACGACGGTCGGGAGGTCCACCGGTGCTTCCGCCAGACCTTTCTCTACCTATATTGTTTGTAGTAGTTGCGCAAGAAACGGCAATTACTAGCATGGTCACGGTTCCCACAAGGCTAACAACTAGTACCAAGGCATGGTGAGCGTGGGCATTATCTCCCAGAACGTCGCGTGCCGCAAGCACTCGAACGAATAGCCTTCGGTTCTCACGGGGGCCTGCGATATCGAAACGAATCAACAGAGTGAGGGGGGGGGGTGCGAAAGGACGCCCCCTTGCAAATGCACTCGCCTTGTCCAGCGTCTCGGGTCGGTAAGGGTCGACCATGAATATAATGGCGCTCGCCCCCTGGTAGACGTTCACCACCCCCGCATCCAGCACCGCCAAGGACCGCCCGCCTCCACCTGCTGGTCCGGAACGGGTCGGCGGTACGGTACGGTACGGCGGTACGGCATGGCATGGCGAAACGGTGCCGGATCGGCCGAAAGACACGGCGGGAAGTGCAACAGCACATGGGCGCGCACAAGGGACAGAAAGACAGACAGGTAGGGGGGGGCGCATGCGGCGAAAGCAAAAACCGGTGCGCACCTTACCAAAAGGGGGGGAGCTCAATGACACCAACAAAAGCTTTGTGGATCTTCGTGCTCAACCATGAAAGACAAAAGTAAACATCGGTATTGATGGTGGAGCGATTTGTGAAACGCCCGCTCTCGTGTATTTCTGTTCATGCGGAGCGCTACCTGCTGGGGACGAACTTTCGTGCATTTACCTGAACCATGGTCAGGAGGTAACCCTGCCACGACGTCCTCAAGATCTTCACCTTCCGGAACTCTGCCTTTCCCCGCTTGCGCTAGTCCCTTGTCTACTACGTCCCACACCTGCCACGACAGTGGGGAGGGAGGGAACCCGAAAGATGGCGGGTAATTCTGACAAATCGCGGGTGCAAAGATGTATACACCACGCCAATACGTCACGCAAATTGACGACATCGAGTTGCTACGCGAGGCTCCTGCAACAGCCGTGGCAGCGGGTGGGACGCGCAGCGCGCTCTCAGCGCAGTCTTTTATCACGGGCACGAACAAACACGCCGTGATAGTAGGTAGCGCTTGCCACTCGGCCACCTCCTCTACCAGCACAGGCCTACAGTGCGGGAAATTCGGAGATCGGGAGCGGAGAGAAAAGGCGACGGCGAAAGCCGGGGGCGATGATGCCTCCTGCACTATTGCGAAAACTTGCAAAAACGCACCTATAGCAGTCAGTGGAGGGGTTCTATGGGCAAGCGACACTACCTACGCCGGCCGTGCTCGCAGGTTCAGAAAGGAGCAGCAGCGGTGGTGGTACGCACCTCTACTTTCACCACGTCTCGGCTTCCTCGGTACACCCAATTGTTGATCGTCGTTGTCTGAATCTCCGGCGTCGGGGTGTACTGCGCTCGTTCGAGGTTTGCCCGGAAGACAGAGCAGGGGGAGGGAGGGAGTACGAGAGATCAGCACGGGGGCGGCGGTATGGGCGCGCGCACGTGTTTTTGCTGGCCAGAAGGGTAAACCAACATCTTGTGCCGGTTGCCGCTGCACACGCCGACGCTAGGATTACCATGGGGCAGTTCGATGGTAGTCTACCGAGGAAACACACAGACATGTACCAGTACACGTTACGGAGCCCAATGGTCGGGGGGGAGAGGTCAACCCACAACACGAACGGGACTTGTATGCTGGGTGCTGTCCTGCTGTGTACCTTCTTTTAGAAGAGATAGACTGTACCTTTTCCTCGTAGGGAAGCCCTTGCAGCCGGCGCCACAGCGTGGACTTTCCCACCCCGCGCTCCCCCCTGATCACCACCTTCATGTTGTACTGAGCGCCAGTGCCGTGCAGCTTGCGCCTGAAACGGAAGGGGTGCGCGCCGGCTCGTCAGTGCGAGCAGTACATGTAGACTTGTCATGCCGCAACACAACTGCTGTCTGATAGGTAGGTTATACACGATTGGCGAAAGCAGTGAATGTATAGATCCAGGGGATCACCAAGCAACAAGTGCGGTCGCCCCGTCTAAGCGGCGAGACTTCCAGGGGGTCGCTACCAAAAACCAAAAACACTCTCGTTACAGGACAGTGAGACGGACAGCAGCGTTGGCCAGAAGCAAAGAAGGAAAACAATTTTCCGGGGCAGGTGATTTGCCGGTGCACCCACAGCTCAGACTGGGCCGTACTGCTGTACGGTATGCCATCCCCATCCCGAGGATAGCAATTACTGCTGTGCGGCAAACGATACCCATTCCGAGGATAGCCATGCCATTCCTGTGGAGGTGTAGACGGAGGTGTCGTTCGCGTTTGGCCGGGATTGCGGAACAACCCACACGGGAGTCACGGCATCATGAAGGCCGATGGCGGATCACAGAGAATACATGCTTCAGCATAGACTACATGTATCTACGTCCATGTTTCCACACGAGCTGACATATTCCACACGGTATCACGCGGGTTGAAACACCGCCCCCCTGCGTTGATTGCTCTCTCTCTCTCGCTCTCTCTCTCTCTCTCTCTCTCTCTCTCTCTTTGTCGATTCGGATGCTGCCGATCCAGACGAAAGCAGAACACACACCTGATGAGAGAGTCCATCTTCGAAATATGGCTCGCGACGGCCTCGTCCTTCTTCTGCGGCGATGTCTCCGGATCATTGCTCTGGTCACCTTTCTTTTCTTTCGGACTGGCGCCATCGCTAGCAGCTTCAGCGGCTTTCCCGCCGAACAGCTTCGCAAACATTTCCACCTCTCGTGACGCACAGCTTCAGTCACACACACTGGCAGCAAGCCAAGCAACACACAGCAGCACAACAGTGTACAAGTGAAAGGGCAAAAGGGACGACGCAGCTGTGAACTCCGACCGCTACATCATAACAGATATGCTTGTATCTCAGCGTCCATTCGCGGTGCCCCACGAGCTCGGCTGTGTCATCATGCGACACATCATTGTGTGTTGTGTGCCGGCCTCTCACCTGCTCCTGTCGCTGTGGCTGAACCCGTTTTACGACTGCTTGCGTTTGTGTGCATCATGGGTGGGGGTACGATGCTGGCGTTCGGGGCTTTACCTTCTCATGTGACCACGACGAGGGAGCTTCGGTCGGCGGGGGGAGTGTTGTGCAACATTGGGATATGTCCGAGCATCAGCAGATCACATCAGCAGCTGCCCGAAACATGTCGCTATGCTGTCTCGGAGATGGTGGGGGCCTCAGAGGAGACGGGAGGCGTCTTCGACCCTCTCGGTCTTGCAACTGACGAGGTGAGCAGGGGGCATGGTGCTTGCTGTTTATTCTTGATACAGTGGAGGTCCCTATTTAGTGCCGGGGTGTGCGCCGAAATTTCACCGGCATCAAACCGGACACCGGCACTATACCGGCAACAGGCACTATTCAACCGGCACTAAACAGGGACCTCCACCGTATCCCGTCGTGGGCGACACTGAGGCTACCCGACTGACGCGAACTTCAATGACGTTTCCGAAGGACTGCTGCATTGCTGCTCTGCCTGTGCAAGCAAGGACCACACGGCCACAGCGGCCATGGGAGATCTCACGTGTGGGCGTGTGTCTCACTCGGTTCCCGACAGTGCTAGTGATCCACCCCCTCTCACTCTCCCGACCCAAACATCTCACTCAACACATATTGCGCCGCATCCCCCCCGGCGCGTGTGCCCGCTCCCGTGGCTCCGTGTGCCCATCGCGATTTGAATTTGATGGAAGACTTCCCTTTACCGGCGGCGCGTGGCGGAGCTGAAGCACGGGAGGGTCTGCATGCTTGCTACCGTGGGCGTGCTAGTGCAGTCGTTCGTCCAGTTTCCCGACCCGGACCGATCTGCCTTTTCAAACACCAGGCCGCTCGGGGCGCTATTTCAGGTGCTACACAGACAGATGTTACGGGACATGCCCGTCTTGCTGCTGTAGGTGTGCTTCTTAAGTCATCGTCCACCGCGCTAACCGGCTGTCCAATGAATTAGAGTTGTGGTCTGGGCTTAGCGGTCCACAGTGTTACAAAATGTGATAAACCACTATTGAAGGCATCGCCGCTAAACCGGATTTTGGCAGCTACTGTACAGTACATTGTTGTTTGACAACCGAGGTGCAGCTGTGCCACGTGAAATAAGGAACCGCTGTTGAGGGCATCCCGCTCAACAGGGAACCGTTAAACTAGGACCACGACTTTACGTCAGTCTTCAAGATGTAACGAGTCTGGAAAGAAACAGAGCGAGATCAAGTGAAAAACGTCTCCGAATCATATTCTTGAACGATGTCTGTAGCTGAAGGTAGTCCGCCTCGTCGTTAACATTCTCCTGTATTGTGTGCCTCCTGGCCGAGATGATCTTCTTTAACGTTGCTTGAATACATCGATTTGTCCCCTCACCGAAACCACCGTATTTAGAGACAACAACCGTACGGAGGTTGGAGCTAGACGATTCAAAAGCACCCGCGTAGCTACTTTGGTGATTGCTCTATCAACGAGAGTAGTGTGAATGTTTCTGTATTTTTTCGCATCGACCGTTTGTTTTGTGTGTGTGTATTTCGTCCAATCTGTGCCGTGCGCCAGTCTACGCCTGTCGGTGTATGTAGTTAGCCGCTGATTTGCGTTATCCTGCACATGTACTACACGCACTAATTGTACCTGTTTACACCTTGTTGTGCTGCTTCGACTGGACGCATCGACGAAAACAGGTGTGGAGAGAACGACCTGTGATCCTGTTGGGGATTGTGGCCTTAATGGGATTGATAGAGCTCACCATCGGGAGGGAGGACTACGGGAGCAGCGAGGCCGAGCCCGGGAAGCTGGGGGAGCTTTGGCAAACAGCGCGGCCTGAAGACCCGCAGGTATTTGGCGGGGTACACTGCACGGTTTGCCACGCTATGGTGAATTTGAACAGCCAGTTTTGTCTTGCTTGGCAAGCTCTTGAGTGTCTCGCATGAAGGAAAATATTTTGTCGTGGAGACTGGCCTTTGTCCTACACCGCCGTTCTGTTTGCCTCGGGCGGTGTGCCTCTGAGATGGCGAGCGACTTGTTCGTGGTTCTGGCTGAGTCTACACTCTGCGCTGGGTCACTTATTGCTTGCGAATTTCCTGTGCGTCCTTGCGTTTGTTTTTGGTGCGTCCCGCCACAGCTTTGGAGGAGAAGGCAACTCCAGGAGTTGAAGCACGGAAGGCTCGCATCGCTCGGAATCACGGGTGAGTTTCGGGCGCGGCTGCTATGTACTTTGATGCCACAATAGTATACCACCCAATACCACCCAAAGTAGCCTTGCGCCGTGTGGTGGCAAAAGGTCGCGACAGCACGCGTGACCTTGGTAAAGGTACATTTTCGGACGGGTACACCTCTGTGGTATTGGTGGTCCGCTAAGTGAGCTCGGCACGCAGCAGACCTCTGGTGCGTGCGGCTACCATTGATCCCCATGTCTTGCATTTTGCTCGTAGAATCCACGTTTACCGCAACGTCTTGGCTTCTCCGACGAAGAGTGACGTATGGTGTGGAGTCCCAGAAGTGTCCTCTGTGTTGCATGGCGATAACTTCGTCGTGATACGGGTTTTGCAATCCTTTTGTGTCGATTTTGAGTTCTGACGAAGAAGCTTGAAGAGCCGGGATTTGAAGCCGCGACTTTGATGGCCTTCCGAAGGATTTAAAGATACCTCCACGCCTCGGTGGAACACCTGCAGCCGCTGAATTGGTGGTTTCCCGAAGTGCGTGTTTCACTTTGGGGTCTGTGGGAGTTGGGAGATATTGTTTTTTCGAGCGCGGCATCAGCCCGTTTTTGGTGTCCCGTTCGACCAGCAGCGGCTTGAGCCGCCTGCTTCCTGTTTCGGACAACATACCCTCAGTGGAGACACGTCTTTCCCGCTGAAGATTGCCCGCCGTACACACGTCTGCGTCTTTGTCGCCGTTTTAGGTATGCTGGCTCAAGAGCTCGTGACGCACGAGGGGCCGGTGGAACAGCTATTAAAGGGGGACATCAACCCGTTCCATGAGTACTGATGTTGTGAGGACACCTTCTCCGATCAGACGGGCGCGCACCGGTTATGTACAAGAACACGGGTCTGGCTGGAACGACTCATGGACCCAAACCCGTGTGACTACGTTGGATTCCGATAATGCCGCGTAAAGCCCTGGGCCGAGCGGTGACGCTCGCTGTCCCTGCTGTCTAGTTGATAGAGCTGTCAGGTTGGGGCGCTCGTCGCACGGGAAGGGGGGGGGGAAGGGGCGAGGCAAGTAAGGACCCATGTCCAAAGGGTGTGTTGTGTAGAGATTATGGTCGGAATGGCGTGGACATAAGGCGCAAGGAACACTCGAGAGAGGGATCATCCTTAGTAGCTGAAGCGTGTTGTGGTGCTGAGGGGGGGAGACGCTGCTATGTATCATAGATATTATTGTTGCTGAGGGGGCCTCATATCAAGACGGGTGTTATGGACGGGTGTTGTTGACATCCCGAAAGAGACGTGTTGTGGATACCCTGTTTTGTGATTTGGTCTTTGTAACCTTCACCCAACCAGTGGACTGGACTGTTGTTGTTGTTGACCTGCGATCTTCTCGTGTTCTCCGTTTCATCCTGTCCTGAATCGGGGGGACACAATTGGCAACAGGAGCAGAACATTCAGTGGCAGGTCGTCTTCTTAAGTACCCAGATGTAACAGTAGCTACCCGTTGATGAGGCGAGTGTGAATGGGATGAGAGCGGTGGAAGTAGGCCCGCCCTCTTCGTGCGGTTGTCGAAGGTGGTTACGGAACCTAGTGTACCCTGTAAGTATCCATTTCATGCCATTCGTGGTACGTATGTGTAGCCGGTGTAACGACACGTGATAGACGGGCGGTCGTGGGGCTTGTTTCAACTACGAGAAAGGGACATGCAGCGTGTGCAGGTGAGGTATTTTCTATCCTTGAGTTCTTGGCGGAACGTGTTCACAAGCCGGTTTTGTTGTCATCCGACATGAGTAGGTAGAGGGCCTCACGAGCGTGTAGCCGGCAGTGTATCCTGGGTCGAATGTAACGTATGTGCTGTGTATGCTACGACGACGAACCGTTGATGTTGGAGGAGATCAGAGGACGACGAGCGGTCATGTTTACTTTGCAAGTTTTTTCGGGTCGTGCAAGTGACCAGTGCTTAGTCAAGATGTAGCTCATCAACAGCAATTGGCAACACTTCTCGAAGAGATTCTCGCTATCTTTTGATGGAATATTTTTGTAGTTTAAGGTGGTGCCGTTGTGACGATGCGGGACGGTGCGTAACGAGGACGGTTTTATCACGAAGAAAGCCGTACCAAAAAAGACGGAGAACCATTGCCTGGTCCTCGATCTGACGCAAAGAGCACAGACGAGGTGAAGATTCGTCCTTGGTCAAGGGAGTAACTTATCAGCAGCAACCAACAAGCCATTTTTATTCCATGTGTGCGTCGGTACTAAACTGGTAGCAGGCTTTTGAGAAAGAGCTCGTCGTGAAGGTAGCATGTTCGCCAGCCTCGCGGGGTTCCACGTCGCGCACACGTGAACGTGTAACCGCTTAATTTTATGTCCTAGTCGTGGATTTGGTGTGCAAGTCAGGGTTGACTGCCGTCACACAGTTCACGCAATTCACGCAATGGAATTCGCGAACATTTTCGCGTGTGCCCGCTGCGATTTATCTCTGTCAGGTTTTTCTTTGCCATGGTTGCCTGCCTGAGAATGCCGTTCGTTGTTGTGCCAAACCCAAGGGGCGTTTGGCCGCGCAAGCACAAGGTATTCTTCGTCGAGGCACAGCAAAACACACTTCCTGTGCGAACAACACCACACCATAGACCCACATGGGCTTTTCCCTGGACAAACAACGCTTTTTAGTTTTACTCAAGATCGTGATTCATCTCCATGCAGCATTCTCCCGCGTACCTGAACCCCCAACATGCCGGTAAACCATTGCGAACAATGACAGCAAACAAATTAGTCTACAATCTAGCTTGGCGTCAACACTCGCACCGCAGGAAACCTCCTCGAACGGATGAAACAGTACAAGTCGTTCCTCCTCTACACGTTGGCGAATACTTTCATAGTGGACACTATCCTGTGAAGCTTCGTCTACCTAATTGCTACGTTTGAGCTCTAAACATTGTCAACAAAGCGGCCTCCCAAGCAGCAACATGCTGCGGGACAGAACGCCCCGAATATTTCCTCCTCACCCTCCACGTCGTTTTCAACCTGCGTCGACCGCTCCCTCAGGTTCTACTGCTACCGTTTCTGCCGTCGCTGCCGCCGCTGCTGCCGCTATCGCGACCGCCGCTGCTGGCATGGACCACGTACTTTGCCGCGTCGATGGGTTGTAGAAATAGCTGGACCCCGAGTCCGGATCGACTACTTCTTGCCACTCGTCTCCCTTCTCGGCAGCCCCTCCAGCCTCGTGGTTGTATGCCTGCAGACCCTCCTCGTTCACCGATGGGTCTGTCATTGCTGCAACTGCCTCGGCCATATCTGCGTCTCCTCCCGATTCGTCGACGCCTTCCTCGCTACGGTTGTCATCACCCGTCGGCCCGTCCTGCAAAAGCTTGCCTGTTCCCTTTGCCACTGTTTCAACCGTGACGTCGACTGCGGCTGATCCGGCCTGCAAAATCTCGCCTTCCCCGCGGTTGCCGTGCGGCACCAACGTTTCTCTCCCATATTGCGGAGTATGACCTTCCTCGCCGGCGCCCCCAACGGTGGTGGAGGGCAAGTCCCAGGAGGTAATCCCCGTCTCCTGGTGAAAATAGTACGTAGCTCCAGTTTCTTCATCCAGGTGCCGCTCCCAGCCTTCCGCAATATCTTCCCCGGTCGTCGGATGTTCCGCAACCGTGTCACCATGTTCTTTGGGATGGGCCGCGGATGGATCCGCCCCCTGCTGCTCGACGGTGCCCTCTTCGCGACTCGAACGTAGTGGAGAGGTCTCAGCTGTTCCCATCTCTGCCGTGCGCCCGCCTGTAGCTTCAGGGCCGGTGACGGCAGAAAAGGTATTGTGGGCCACATTCTGAGTTTGGTCGCCGCTGGTCGTCGGTGGTCGGTCCGGTACCCTTGTTGTAGATGCTGCGGGATCGCCACGGGCAGGCACGAGTGGCATATGGAGGCTAACATCCTCACTTGATTGCATTTTTTCGCCGTCGTCGCCTGAGAAAACGGGGGAATTATCGCCTGATGAAACGACCTGCAAGGTCGTGTCATTTTCTTTATCCACCCCGTGGTGGAGCTTGTCGATGCTGCTCGAGGCAACGTCTTCGCCGTGCACCGAAACTTCGCCCGGTCCTTCTTGCGTGTCGATGACACCATCGTGTCCATCCGAAAGCTCTGATTTTTCTGTATCCGATCCCGTGGCTGTGGAAGACTCTGCGCCCTCTGATGAACTCGATAACTTCCGGCTCATTCCGCGTTGTTCGTTTCCCACAGCCGACGCCGGAGGTTCGCTACCTTTCAAGACGTGTCTTACGGCACTGAGTGCCCCGATCTCTTCCTGGGTATCATGTTTTGCCTCCTCCACTCCGTCGCGCTGACCCTCAATGCTTGTTTCTTCTCTGGTCTGTACGGAATATCCATTATCACAACCTATCGGTGGTTTATTTATTTCAGGTAGTTCAGGACTTGGTGTCATTCCCGGCCTCGGTTGCTGCTCTGGAGGAAGTGGGATTGATGCAATTCCTAGGACAACGCCCGACGCTCGCCTTGCCGCCGCCATCATCTTCGCAAATTTCAACGATACCGGCTCAGACTCCTGCTCCAGCTGGCGCTTGATGTCGGCGTTTCTCTGTCTCCTCAATGTGGACACTATATTGATTGCCTGGCGGAATCTCACGGCGCGTTGTATGCACTCCGCTGCATTTCGCCGGACCTCCGCTTCTCGTTCCATATCCGCCTCGTATAACTCTCGCTGCCTTTCGACGTCTCTCTGCCGCTTCAACGCAGATACCCGTGCCAAGGCTTGTCTGCACCTGACCACCCGTTGAATACACGCGGCGGCCTGTTCTCGCATCTCCGCTTGTTTGGCCATCCTTGCTTCTTGGTCATGTTGGATCTCGACGTCCCTCTGCTGTCTCAAGGCGTTGACGTGTTTCACGGCGTGGTGGCCCCTTGCTGCTCGCTGGATACTGACGGCGGCCTCTTGCTCGGCCGCACCCTGCAATGCGAAGGCCAGCTCCTGAGCCCGCTGATGCTCGATCTCGCGCCCTCGTCTCAAAGCGGTGACTCGCCGGCGGGCTTGGTTGCTCCTGGCCATGCACTGGATGTATTGTACGGCCTGGCGTTGTTCCTCCTCCCGCATCTTGAGCTGCCTCTCCGCGTCTCTCTGCCGCTTCAACGCAGATACCCGTGCCAAGGCTTGTCTGCACCGGACCACCCGTTGAATACACGCGGCGGCCTGTTCTCGCATCTCCGCCTGTTTGACCATCCTTGCTTCTTGGTCATGTTGGATCTCGACGTCCCTCTGCTGTCTCAAGGCGTTGACGTGTTTCACGGCGTGGTGGCCCCTTGCTGCTCGCTGGATACTGACGGCGGCCTCTTGCTCGGCCGCACTCTGCCGTGCGAAGGCCAGCTCCTGAGCCCGCTGGTGCTCGATCTCGCGCTCTCGTCTCAGAGCGGTGACTCGCCGGCGGGCTTGGTTGCTCCTGGCCATGCACTGGATGGATTGTACGGCCTGG